CATGTGGGTAGGGGCTTCTGGTGTGAGGTTGGGCACATCCTGGGTGGGGGCACCTGGAAGCTTTTAGTGGCTGCTCAGCTCACTCCTGTGGGCTCTGCTGTTCCAGCTTCACAGATGGGTGAGTCAGCCGTGGTCAGAGCTCCCCTGTGGCTAAGGTGGAGCAGCCCAGGCGGGGCAGTGAGGGCAGGTCCTGGCTCCGGGCCTGTGGGCAGCCTGCTCCTCTGTCCTGTGCTGAGGGGGTAGTCCACCGGAGGGGAGGCATGAGGGCATGTGCCCTGCACGCGGCCCTGCTAGCAACGGCCGGAAAGGAACGAGCCTGATTCTAGCCGGGCACCGGGACCTCTGCCCTGGAGACACCTCCCACAAGCCCGTCATCGGTGGGCGTCGTGTGCGGGGTGCAGACCCAGTGGCAGAGGCGTGGCAGCGGCCTGGGACCTCGGGCTCTGGTTGTGGCCCCTGCAGCCCTGGGCCTTTTCGGGTACAGTCTGTGCCTGAGGAGCTGCTGAACTTTGCCCTTGGGGGTCCCTCAGGAGTTCATGCACCTCTAGTTCTCTGTGGTTGGACTGCTAATTGGCGTGAAGTCAACGCTTAATGACTTTTTATTGCCATGAACTCCTGAGTTCATACTAACCGTGGTGTGAGAACCCAGTGTGAGGAGTTCACAAGCCGGCAAGTGAATGCTGCGCGCTCTCTTCTTTAGCCCTGAGCGTCCTTCCTGGCCGGCTCCTTCCAGAACGAATTCTGTGTGTGTGCGTGTGGCTGCGTGTGTGTCCCCCATCCCCCCAGCCCCTCGCCTGTCCCACACGCCCACGTTGGTGTCAGTGCTGCTGAGGCTGTTTGCTCTGTGCTCCGCGTGGCTCTCTGCGTGGCTGGAAGAAGCAGGCTCTTCTCAGTGTCCTCATGGCCTCCAGGTGGCTGGCTGCGTCCCCATGTGGTGACCCCGGCCGGGAGGCGGCTGCACTGTGCACCTGCTCGGCGGGCAGGGCTGCAGAGACCAGGAGGAGCCTGGGGTCCCGCAGCCCGGAAAG